TTATTTATTTATTTTTAGTAATCTCTACACCCAATGTGGGGCTTGAACTCACAACCCCGAGATCAATCGTCACATCACATGCTCTTCCAACTGAGCCAGCCAGGAGCTCCTTATGAAATACTACTTTATTATAGCCATCATATTGGTGAGTACTTTTAACCATTCAAAAATACCAGCTGCTGGCAAGAATATGAGGGCAACAGGAATTCTTGTGTACTACAGGCATGGGGTAACCATTGATAGCCACTCTGGGGAATGATTTGGCAGTATTTAGTGAAACAATGTATGTGTATGCCTTATGACCTAGCAGTCCACTCCTGACAACATTTTCAGAAAAACCTCTGCATAGGTCCAAAAGAGGATGAATGAGGACATTTAGCAAATAAATATTAAAAAAAATTAGAAGTAACAAATGAATTAATAGCTAGGAGAATTGTCTGTAACTACCATAGATCCATACCATGGATTATGCTGTAATTAAAAGCAATTACACATAAATACAACTACATGGAAAGACCTATAAAATCACCACTAAAAGAAAATTAAGAAAAGGAATGGAATCTACACTATATGTTAATGATACTGGAATTAAAATTAAAAAATTAGTAAAGTAAGAATGAAATCTATAAGATAATACTATCTTTTAATTAAAGAGCACCAATTTTTTTTTTAATTTTTTTTTTTTAACATTTATTTATTTTTGAGACAGAGAGAGACAGAGCATGAACGGGGGAGGGGCAGAGAGAGAGGGAGACACAGAATCAGAAGCAGGCTCCAGGCTCCGAGCCATCAGCCCAGAGCCCGACGTGGGGCTCGAACTCCCGGACCGCGAGATCGTGACCCGGGCCGAAGTCGGACGCTTAACCGACTGAGCCACCCAGGCGCCCCAAAGAGCACAAATTTTAAAAGCACACACATAAAGCAACACTGTGTAATTTATAAAGACATATACAAATTTAAGAAGATATACCAAATACATCAGTGGGTGCCAGAGGGAGAGTTAGATAGGGAGGGGGAAATCACTATGAAAGTGAAAGTAAGGAAAATAAAATGAGACCCTGAAGAGTCCACTGATATTTTTCACTCTAAATTGATCAGAAATTCTGAGTGACTCAACTCCCTGTCCTTGAGGTCCCCCTTAAAAAACTTAGATGATGAAGAAACCAAGTTACAACACTATAAGTTAACCTACAAATGACAGAAGTGCTCAGTCTACTGATAACTCTAACCTGCTCTAGTGATATCTAAAGAGAAACTTGATTTCATACAGATTTCACAGCTTCTCAACATCCATATACCTGAAAAGATAAAAGAATTTGTATATCCTTCCTTGTCAGTCCTTGTGATTCATTCAGGTTGTAGTGTAAGTTTCCTTTCAATCAATCCAAGAAGGATCAGCGTGACCAAGCAAAGCAGGTTCCAAAGGCAGGAAGCAGAAGCAATACGATGCTATGGAAGTACCTTTCTGATCAGTCCCTTCTGCTGTTGTAGGGCCTTGGGGCAACCCTTCAATGTAGGTGGTTGGCAACAAGTCGGCCGAGATAGGTTGACCTTGTAGCTTTTGTAGTCTCTCATGTACAGCACTGGTCAGGTCTACATAAGCCTCATCGATGCTGCCACGTTCAATCCCAGCAAAACGAGACATTACCCCCATCACTTCCACACTGGCTTCCCGGTACCTAAAAAGTATAAGGATTGTTATATATGTAGGTAATAAATGAACACAACAATTGAGATAGTCAGCCCCATCCCCTCCATCTCATAATGGAATCATCATATACATAACCAATGTAAGATCTCCTTTTTTGTTTAATGTTTATTTATTTATCTTCATTTTTGAGACAGAGGGAGACAGCATGAGCAGGGGAGAGGCAGAGAGAGAGGGAGACACAGAATCAGAAGCACGCTCCAGGCTCCGGAGCTGTCAGCACAGAGCCTGATGCGGGGCTCAAACTCATCAACTTCAAGATCATGACCCAAGGCAAAGTTGGACGCTCAACCGACTGAGCCACCCAGGTGCCCCTGTAAGATCTCCTTAAAGAGAGGAATGGCTTGGCAGATGAAGTGGTCAATGCGCAGGCAGATGGTCAGTAACAGAAGCAAAGAAAAAGAAGCAGCACAGAGGCAAACATTTTTAGTGTGACTCTAGCACTATGAAGGTGGAAAGTGTCCAGACCATGAATGTGTTTATGTGACAAGGATCTCCCCAAAGATGAAAGAAATGCTTCAAACTTGTTTAACTACATTTTACTAAGATCACCTACTCTTTCTGTTATTTTCATATATCTACCATGTAGTATTCTGCTTCAACTTTTGTCTTCAAATATGAGATTTACAGGAAACACTGCCCTGATCCCAAGTATCTGGTCTTCCTCAAGATAGCATTTCTCAATATATATATATGTATGTATATATATATATGTATACACACATATATATTTGTATACACACATATATATACACATATATGTTAATATGTTTTTTGAGAGGGAGAGAGAAAGAGAGAGAGAGGGGTCATAAGTGAGGGGCAAAGAGAGAGAAAATCCTTTAAGGG